TCTTACACCGTACACAAAAATAAACTCAAAATGGATGAAAGACCTAAACTTAAGACAGGAAGCCATCAAAGTCCTAGCTTCAAAATAAATCAAAATAAAAAGCTTCTGCACAGCGAAGGAAATAATCAGCAAAACTGAAAGGCAACCTTCAGAATAAGAGAAGATATTTGCAAACGACATATCAGATAAAAAGTTAGTATCCAAAATCTATAAAGAACTTCTCAAACTCAACACCCAAAAAAACAAATAATCCGGTGAATAAATGGGCAAAAGACGTGAATAGACACTTCTCAAAAGAAGACATCCAGATGGCTGACAGACACATGAAAAAATGCTCAACATCACTCATCATCAGGGAAATACAAATCAAAACCACAATGAGATATCACCTCACACATGTCAGAATGGCTAACATAACTCAGGCAACAACAGATGTTGGTGAGGATGTGGAAAAAGAGGATCTCTTTTCACCGCTGGTGGGAATGCAAACTGGTTCAGCCCCTCTGGAAAATAGTATGGAAGTCCCTCAAAAAATTAAAAATAGAACTACCTTATGACCCAGCAATTGCACTACTAGGCATTTATCCACAGAATACAGGTGTGCTATTTTGAAGGGGCACGTGCACCCCAACGCTTATAGCAGCGCTATCAACAATAGCCAAAGTATGGAAAGAGCCCAAATGTCCATCGATGGATGAATGGATAAAGAAGATGTGGTATATATATATACAATGGAGTATTACTCAGCAATCAAAAAGAATGAAATCTTGTCATTTGCAACTATGTGAATGGAACTAGAAATTAGAGAAAGACAAATATTTGAGAGACAAACTTCACTCATACAAGGAATTCAAGATACCAAACAGATGAACATAAGGGAAGGGAAACAAAAATAATATAAAAACGGGAGGGGGACAAAACATAAAAGACTCAAATATAGAGAACAAACAGTGTTGCGGGAGGGGCTGTGGGAGGTGGGATGGGCTAAATGGGCAAAGGGCATTAAGGAGTCTACTCCTGAAATCATTGGTGCACTATATGCTAACTAACTTGGGTGTAAATTTTAAAAATTAATTAAGTAATTAAAAAAAAGAATAACTAGGCCTCACTCCAGTCCCCTCCTTGCAGTCCCAACATGTTCACACTCAGACACACAGTCTCTGCCCAGCACCTCCTGGCCTGCCTGCCAGGCGAGGTCCTCTGCCTGGAGAGGGACAGTTCCGCAGTATATCTGAACACATTCCAACAGCACATGTTTATCTCTAGGGTCAGCCTTTCCTGTTGATGCTCAGGAGGTGTGGGGGAGCTGCTGGCAGGCACAGGGGGTGGAGGCCTGAGGGCAGTAGGGATATGGACGCCCCTCTCAGGAGGGTGATGTTATGATGAGGTTTCCAGACCGTGTGTGGCCATGCATGTCTTTCCTCACATCAGTATGAACTCTTCAGCTCTTCTGCTGTCAGTGGAGACGGGCACAGCCTCACCCAGGGATGCATCTTCCAGAGGGCGGGCTAAGACGCGCTGGGTGGGGACCTCCAGGTGGGGGCCATGGGATATGGAGCCAGGAGAACGGCCGTGTTTCCATTGTTTACTGTAGGATGTGAGCTCTGTTGGGACGCAACTGGTTCTGCCTCTCCCTTTGAGCTCAGTTATTGGTGCCAGGACCTCCAGGCTTTGGCAGTGGGACAGACGGGGCCACCCTCCCTGAGTAGGTAGGCAAACCCCATGAGTCTGACACCCTTAGACACCATTTCCAGGAGTTGCGCCCCCTCCCTCAGGAAAAGTACCCACCACACTTATCCCCACCAGCAGGGGGCAAATGCTGAGCTACCGTTTAGGGGTCCTTCCCCCACCCCTGTCCCCACCCCCGCCCACCTCTGGGTGGCTTTGAGAAAGTATGTTCATAACCAATCTCAGACCTTTGATATGTTCCTTATTTTCAAGTGAGATAATTTCATCTTCCCTCCAGGCTGAGTTTTGAGGGGCAGGAGAGAGGAGGTCGAACTATTTGATTCTTCTTCAGCAAAAATGAATCATGTCCCACATCCCCCATTCTCAGCCTAGGGATATTTACCCATGTTTATATAACTATGGCAACAGGCTTTATTCTCTGCCATTTAAACCCTTAAAAAAAAAAAAAAAGAAAGAAAAGAAAAATGGAAAGCAATCCATTTCCCTGTTCCTGCCTCCTGGTCTACCCAGATGACAGAGCTATTCCTGCAGAAGCAAGGTAAGAGACAGAGTCCCACATGTCCTGGTATAATGTCAGCCTTCTCCGAGGGTAAGTTTGCAATGGCCCAACCTCATGAAAGGCCTTACGAGTTTAACAGTCACTTTCTACCAAAATCCTATGGGAACCACACAGTAATAGCACCTCTGACTTGTCTGGGACCTCTCTTTTGAGCACCACGCTGAGATTAGGGGCATCGATTTTCTTTTTCTTGCCATCTCCTTGACCTTAAAAGGGGATGGATTTCGTAATGTATATAACTGTCGTGTCACTACGTCAACCACCTGAAACTAACATATGTCAACTATCTTTCAATTAAAAATATTTTTTTTTTAAAAAGTGGATGGAATGCCAGCTGGCTTTGCTAACAATATATTCTTCATCTCTGAGATGGATTCCTCTTGTCCTGACTACTTCACAGATTGTTGTCAAAATAGAGTTTTGTAAGGAGTGTAAAAGTGTTAATTAGACTCACATAGGTTTAACTAGAAGCAAGAGAAACTGAGGCCAGGAACAGGGAAGCATCTGTGCGAGGACAACTGTGCTGTCAGAGGCCTAGGACACCCAACCACCCAGTCTAAACTTGTTACCAGATCAGCCTGCACCTCTTGGAGTTTGAACTACAGCCACCCTCTTACCTTCCAAGAGGACCCCAGTCCAAGTGCTCTCAGGGATGGCAAAACCCAGGCTTAAACTTGCCTCTAAAGACTATGGGAACCACAGACTCACAAACGTTTACTCACTGCCTCCTGCAGCAGTCACTGTGCTGGGTGCTAGAGATCTCAGAGTGAGCAAGGCCCGCAGGGCTGGGGAACTCTTCTGTGGTGGTTCTCCCACGTAAGACTATGTGTGGATTATGTTAGCGGCCAGGTCCCCCTTTCTATCCCCATCCAAAAAGACTCAACTCCAGAATGGTTCAGCAGGTCTGGGGACCGCAGCTCCGTCCTTGGGGGTGGCTCCCACTGTGAACATGCTTCGGATACCACGGGAGTGTCCCCTTGGGAATCTCTGTCTCCCAACTGCAAGGAAGCCTGTGAGTGGGTCGCAGGACCACGCGGACTGGCGAGGCCAGACTCACTCAGGTAACGGAAAGACCCGGAGAGCAGAAGTAAATGGTGATTCAAGCTCGGCAGCTTGGAAACACCTCTGTAGATTGATTCTCAGCTCCTTCCTGCAACAGTCGGGTTTTCTGATCCATGCCGGATCCTGAGCAGGGACCCCGAAGGGATCCCAGGCACCCGGGCTTAGGGCTTAGCACCCGGCCACTGAGACTCAGACTTCCGAGGGAGTTCTCACCCATCTACGCCTCTTCTTTCTTTTCTCCATCCATCCGCTACCGCTGCCTCAGCTTTGTCCAAAGAGGGGCACTCAGGTCTAGGACAAAAGACATGGGCGAGATCCCCTGTAATTGAGGAGCTGGGGTTAAGTGGAGACATCCGAAGGGACTCTGTAGAGTCTTCATTTCTAAAGATGTTCGTTTTTACGCACCCCCCCCCCCCCCCCCCGCCCCTTGTCTTTCAATAGTAAGCAGGAGTGGCACCCTTTCCTGACCAGGATCAGAATGAATGACCGCAGCGCCTGCATTCACTCTGCACCTTCTCACGCGTCTGCAAGGTTCTGTCTCGGAGACCCCAAATTCTGCCTGGGGCAAACTTTCTCCCGTTAATTGTCTTGAGATAACACGTCGCTAATTACCCTAATTACTCTCGGGCCCTGCAACACCGTCCCCCGCGGGCCAGGGAGGGTGGCGCGGCGCCTGGGCGCGGGGAGGGACCAGTAACCCTGGCCGCAGCGGAGGCTGGTCCAGAGCTCCGCTGGAAGGAGCACCCAGGCCGGCCTGCGGCCCCTCTTGGGTCCACCTGCCTCAACTCCTGTGTCCATTGAATAGAACCCGAGCAGCTTGGAGTCGTCCCCGCTCCCCGTCCCTTGAGCAAGAGTTAGGATAACTGACGCATATGGAATACGGGGGAAGAGAAAGGCCTATTCCTCCACTCCCTGCCCACCCTACTGAAAGCCGCCCCCCATTCTACTACCCTGTTTCATGTTTTCACAAAGAATCACTACTGGAGAGTACCGTGTTTATTTATTTTAACCTGTCTCATCCCTCCCCTTCCCCTACCCCACGCACGTTCTTGAGAGCAGAGACCTTGCCTGTCTTAATTCGGTATCATACCCCAGACTTACACGTGGCGGGGAGTCAGCAGAGCCTCTAACAGCCTTGTGTTAAATAAGTCTGTGGACCGAGCAGCGGCTCCTCAGCTCCACGAGGAAGACTGGGCTGGGAGGAGCCTACACTTGGAGGTGAGACGGACCCACACTTCCAGACTTCCAGCACACTTCCAGAGTTCAGAAGAACTGCTGATTGGCTGCTTTGGTGGAGGATGTTCCTTTTCTGATCGGAGTTTGGGAAACAGGATTGAAACTAAGGCACTCTTACTGAGGCCGCTTCCCAATGCCCATCATAAGACGGTGCTCTCTATCACCAAACGGGGGTCACGTGCTTTGTTGGGGGACGTCGGTACAATCTGGCGGCACGATACCCCCAGCCGCGTGGGCCAGGACTAGGTGTCCCGCGGCCAGCCCCCAGCAGCGGCTGCCCTAGCCCTGTGCGACCACCCGCTGCTGGATCCACTCGCTGCAGCCCAGCCCGCGCCCCCCCCCCCCGTGCGCCCTTCTCATTGGCTGAAGGCATCCCCCCTGAATTCTCATAGGCTGTCGCACTTTTCCTCCGCCCCCCGCACGGACCGCGCGCCGCGCCAGCCAGGGAAGCTGCTCTAAGTCCGGGCTTTGGAACAGAGGCTCGGCTCGGCCCTGCGAGAGGCGCGGAGCGCGGGGGCCGGGGGCCGGTGTTCCCACCCAGGGACGCTCTTGTGGAGCCGAGCCCGGCAAATGGGCGCAGGAGGAAGAGAGCAGGGAAATGGACTGCTATTTGCGCCGCCTCAAGCAGGAGCTGGTAAGAGCGCAGCAGGCGCCGGGGGCCGGGAGGACTGCTCCGCCCCGACGGCACCTGGCCCCCGCCCCGGGCCGGCCGGGGAGCTGGGAGTATTCGGGCAGGGGAAAGCCAGAGAGGAGGGGACGGGCAGGCAGAGGGCAGGGCCTGTCCCGAGGGAAAGGGCCGCGAGGAAACTTGGAGCGAAGATTTGTGAGTGAGGCAGACGCGAGCAAGTGACGGAGACCTAGCGACCCCAAACCCAGACTGAAATGCTCCCAGGGAAGTCGCTGGAGAAACGGGGGCACACTCCCAGACGGACAGACGCGCGGGAGCTGGACGCCCGGGCCGGCTTCTGGGGCCGCTCGGGGAGCCGCGGAGCGCGCGGGGCAGGCGGGGCGCGGGGAGCAGGGGCCGGGCGCGCGGGCCGGAGGGCAGCCGGGGACCGCTGGCTCGCGGGGAGCTGGCACCGCCTGGGGCCCCCAGCCCCGCCGGGCTTGGCAGAGCTGGCGCGGCTGCGGGGGCAGGCTGGGCCGGCTGTCTGCCCGGGCTTGTCTGCCAGCAGGGAGGGGGCTGGCAGCTGGAAGGGCGGGGGAGGGCCCCGCGCCGGAGGAGGGGCGCCGCCTGGCAGATAGCGAGCGGAGCTGCGGGGGCCCGGCCAGATGTCGGGGCTGGGCGTGGGGAGTGCGGAGGGAGCGTGCGGAGGCCAGGGGTGCAGAGGTCGGGAGACGGATCTCAGTCTGGGACCCGGGCATCACTCAAGTCGGGGGTGGGGTGCTTCCAAAGCTCTGTGAGGCTGATTCTCGCCGATTTCATATACCACCCCCAGCCCCCCCCCCCCCCACACACACACCTGCCACCTTTCCTGTTCCTGCAACCACCCGAATTCACACAGATATGCACACCCCCCACCCCGGCCCCCGGGCCCACCTCTCTGTCCACCCAGCTCCTTCCTGTGTCTTTGCCCCTGCCTCTTTTTGTCCCCTTTAGTGTCTCTTGGAGTGGACCTCTCCACTCCTCACTTTTCTTCCGTCCTCTTTCTTCCCACTTTCCAAAGCCAGGGACGCCCAGGCTCTCAACAGCAGACCTGGACCCATGACTCTCCAGATTCCGTGACAGACTCTCCCACTAAGGCCTGTAAACGCTACACTCCCTTCCAGCAGCTCCCCCCTCCCCCCCCCCCCCCCCGCCCCGGAAACTTGGCAGCTGTATCTGGGGCCAGTTTTGGGGGGGGAGGGCAGCTTGCAGAGCAGGTGTTCTCACTGATGCTTCCTGGTCAAGGCTCCCAGGCACTCTTCCTGTCTGTCCCACTCCAGGGTCTGCCTTCTCAGGTCAATGGTCACTTCTCTGGGACTTCCTCCTCAAGCCCTTTTTGTGGTGACACACAGACGGTAAAGGTACCCAGAGAAATGCTGCTTCTGGGAGGGACAGAAGAGTCTCCACCGTGTTCCTTCCCACCCTCATTTTCACATGCTTCTGGTGTCAGTTTCGGATGGTCAGCCCCAGTCCACACATACACAATTCTGACTCTTCCCATTCATTTGTCCAATACCAGAAAGAAAGGTCAAGGTCATCACAGATAATGTCTGAAGTCCAAGGCCCATGCTGAAAAAAAGAGAATCAAATAGAGTCCTCTTTTTATGCTTGGAATCTGGGACCACACCACCCACCTCAGGATATGCCTTAATAGAGGGTTTGTGGGTGTTCCTGGCATAGGCTTGAATTTTAAAATCCTACTGATTTGCATTTTTTATAGCACCCTAGGTGGGAGGGGGGGTGAGGGGAGGAAGACAGTCTGTGGATGCCAGGAGAATAAAAAAGGCAAATAGGAATCTGCACTGAACTGAGCTCCAGGTCTTGATTTGCACCCTCTCCTGCCAAGGACTTGAGCCCCCAGTCCCCGGGAGGAGGAAGGGGAGAGGCTGAAGTCACTGAGCTCCCCATTAGCTTTCATTTGGCCCTTTGTCTGAGCAGCTTCAGCCTTTGACTCCTTTGGCGAGGAAGCCAAATGCCTGGCCTGGGGCCCAGAATGACACTCAGATGGGAGAGTTCTGCACCCTCCCCCCCCCCCCTTGGTGCCCCGCCTCCTCCCTGGTGCCAGTCTGCCCAGAAGTGAGACAGAGCAGAGTGACAGGCAGAGGTATTAGAGTCTCACTCACTCCCTGACACCTCAGCCCAGTGCTTAGGTAGCTGAACCACATCTCAGTGCCTCAGTTTTGCCAATGGGAGTAAAGAAGAAAGTAGAGCTGAGTTAGCCCATCTGGGCCCTTTGGCTCCTCTAAGGACTGTGGGGATTGAATTCAGTGTACCTTGGTTGTGACTGGGGTGGAAGGTTCTTGCTTTTTATACCCCAGGTCTGTAACAGGCATATAGTCATTTTATGTCATGAGCTGGTGAGGGTGGGGGCAGGCAGTAGGGCTTGTGTGTTTATCCTAGGCAGAATCTTCCCCACTGCCACAGAGGAGGACTGCGTGTTGCCTGGCTTTGTCCTTAGGTTAGTAGATGCCCAGGAAGGTCACTCATGTAATACTCGTCGAGTTCTACATTCATTTATGCCACTAAATCCCTTCAAGAAGCCTGCGTCCTACAGACGCTGGGTTAACCTGCTGGAAAAGGAAACATTAACAGGTTGTAAAATAATTTTTGTTAAGGGTGTTCTGTGGCCCTGTCCTTGGCTCAGAAAATCTAGATGAGAAAAGTGTGTTCCTGAAGACCAAAGTAACAGAATTCCTTAATTTCGTGGAGCAGAAAATTCACACTGTAGGGGCGTCTGACTTGGGCTCAGGTCATGATCTCACAGTGTCGGGCTCTGTGCTGACAGCTCGAAGCCTGGAGCCTGCTTCGGATTCTGTGTCTCCCTCTCTCTACCCCTCCCCTGCTCACACTCTGTCTCTGTCTCTCTCTGTCTCTCAAAAATAAATACAACATTTAAAAGAGTTTTAAAAAAATTGCACTCTAACAAGTGAGCACTGTGGGGGGCGGGGAGGCTAAGGGTTGGGGACCCTGGCTTGATTAGCTTGATGTCTAGAGAACTGGCCTTTTCCCCCTGCCTCGAAGAGGACAGAGATCAGGTTTCAGGGATGAAATGTGGCAGGGGAGTAGCAGCAGCTGACACACTTCTTCATTAGGATGAGGGGGTCAGGGCTGCAACAACCCAGCAGGGAACATATCTCTCTCCCCTCCAGCCACCACAGAGGGGCCCTGCACGAACACAAGGCCTTGGGACCAGCTGTTCCTACACACTCCTCCCTTGAGGGCTTCCAACAAATTGGGTAGACACAGAAACACAGAAGAAGCAGACATAAGATGCTCACGGGGTTTGCTTCATGAGTCAGTATCAGTGGAAAGCGAATAGAGTGTATAAAGCCTGGGTGATAGGGGCTCATGAAGTCCAGCCATGCCAGGAAGGCTTCCTGGAGGAGGAGGAGGTTGATGGAGGCCACCTCCTGCAATATCCGTCCTAGCTTAGGCATGATGAAACAGCAGAGGGGCTTCTCTTGGGCTGGAGAAGGTCCTTCTAGAACAACTTGGTATTCCTAGAAGGCAGTTACCTGGCCACAAGGTCAGGAGGTTCTGACATGTGGAGGAGGACCAGGACCTAAAGGCAAGAAAAGGAGCAAAGAAAGTGATGAAGAGATATGAGAGGAATAGCCTTCAGTTCTCGGCCTCCTTTGATGTTTAGAGCTGGGGTCGGGTCCGTAAGCGAGGAGTGTGGAGCATGGGATTCGGGGGCAAGCCAACTTGAATTCACATCCTGGCTCAGGATGTGACCCAGGCAGATTACTTAACCCCTCTGTGCCTTGTTTTTCTCATCTGTAAAATGGGGTTTTTTTTAATACCTACCTGCTACAGCTGCTGTGAAGATTAAATGATTGATGTCTGTCCTTAGCACATAATACCACGCACATTGTGTTGTAGGCACTCAGCAAACTCTGGATGGATTGATCGGGCTGGTGTGCATGAGTCATTCATTCACAGAACACATTAATGGAACTTGCCCTATGTTTAAAGCACTTTACCAGACACTGGTACTGTAGTTACAAATATAAACAGACCCAGATTCCGCTTTCAGGGAACTCACAGTTCAATAGGGGAGATGATGATGATGATGATAATAATAATAATAATAATAATAATAATAAGTGTTGATGTTAACATTTATTGATATGCTAGACATATAATGTATCATGTCACTTAATTGCCAAAGCAACTTGGAGACGTTGTACTTCCATTGTTCTCATTTTATAAATGAGACATGGGGAGGTCAAGTGACTTGGCCAAGGTCATCAAGCTGGTACGCAGCAGAGCTAGGGCTCAAACCCAGCCAGCCTGACTGCAAAGCTTGCACTCGTAACCCATGCATGCATGCATGTGTCCAGCAGAGAGACAGAGGGTGCTTGCTACGTGAGAAGCACGAGTTCAGTGCTCTGAGAAGGGAGAAATGACCTCCAGCCAGGGGATCGGGAAAAGCTTTGTGGAAGAAGTAGCATTTGAGCTTGACCTTGAGGGATAAGCAGGGATGCGAAGGGGAGGAAAACCGCATTCCAGGCAGATCATGAAACAACAGGAGTGAAAGGCACCGAGATGGAAGTAGCAAGGACGTCCGGATGCCTTCTGGCGGGGATGTTCGAAGACTACTTCCGTCTGGTAGAACATAGGGTATGTGCAGAGAAAGAGTGAGCAACGGGGCTGAAAGAGTTGTTGAGAGCCGTCTATGGGGCACCTTGAATGCCATGCTAAAAAGTCCGCTCTTCCCTCTATGCACTGCAAGAAGGAGGCCGAGAACAGTGCCCTGGGATCCAGGAGGTGGGTGGTCTGGGGCGGAGGGTGGTGGGTGGGGGGAGGAAATGGAGGCAGAGGCTGAGTTACGTGGTTATCACAAGAGCCCATGAAGGAGAGTATGAAGGCCTGAACAAGAATGAAGAGGAAGGTTACTTCTGGAGGCCCCCTGGATGCCCAAGGAATTGGGACTGCCTGCTTTGGAGAGGAGCTAAAGCTGTCAAGGGCGAAGGGCGTGGTGAGGC